AAAATGCTTATAATGTACGATTGACTGCCGAAGAAAATCTTAATAAATTTGTTAAAGTATTATAAAAGAAATTCTTTTTTTCTGTATAATTTTGTATGAATTATAAAATAGAACTAAAAAGAAGCAGATTTAATAAGAATTCAAGTTGAATTATATCGAATTATAAAACATAATCCTAATGTTGGACCAAATGCTTTAAAAGGTTATTTTTATAATAAGGATTTTTTTTTAATTTCGATTAGGTGTTCTGTGGTGATTTGCCGAATTAGCAAATATAATACATCCGAAAAAGATTCAACCATTTTATCAGAATATTATGAACTTATTGTTCGTAGTCTTGGTCGACCGATTAATGATAAAGAAATTAAAGTAAGTAAAACAAAAATCTTTGTCATCTAAGACAAGTTTTTTAAAAAAGTAATCAGAAAAATGTCATGCAATTGAATAGAAACATAGAAAAGAATTGCTCTACCGTGTTTCGGTTAAAATTTCTAGCATGAGAGGATGTTTTTCAGAAAATGTAGAATAGGCAGTCTGATACTATTTGACGAAATACGAACTGAGAAACTGTCTATCATTTGAAGCGATCTGCCCTCGAAAGTAATCGAGCGTAGAGTTTCATGCAACTTAAGAATGGTTTAGTCATAGGAGTTCACTGTCTATCGTTATAGTTAAAGTATGAAGTCGAGTGAGAATGAATTTTTCTTTTCCTAATATTAACAATAAATAATTTTCTTTTGAAATATATAATCAATGACTAAATTATTCTTACAGACTTCTCATGCCCTATTCGGCAAATATGTTATCCCATGGTTATAGCACGTTTTCTAATGGCAAATGTAATTGGTAAGTTTTCTTTCAAATAATAATTTCAATCCATGATAATTGCCTTTTATTTTAATAGATCAATTACTTGAACATCAAAATCAAAATGCTAGTACACGTTTAATAATTGATTATCTTGGTTAAATAAAAAATCTTATTCAATTACTTGGTTATTTAGATTTATTTGATTTTGATCAATTATTAATTTCAATTCAAATTGGATCTATAGAAGAAATTCGTGTTAGTGAAGCCTTAAAAACAGGTAAATATTGAGAAAAAAACAAGAATTTTTTTTTCTTCATTTGTTTTGTTTTTCTAAAACAATAGCTTATTCAACATATCAACGTTGATTTATTGAAATGAATGGTGAATTCGATTCAACATCAATGATCAATAATGAAAAACGAACATCAGCTGCTAAGCTTGTTAATCAATTATATTTTCTTTCCGATTAGATATATACTTAATATGGATGGTACGATAAAAAGTGATGATGAATCATGTATTAGTGTTAAATGTGCTATACCAATATGTCTATCGTATTTATCAACAAATTGGTCGATTTGATTACCTTATTGAAAGTATGTTTAATGCTTGTTTGAGGCTTCTTTTTGTAAAGTTTCACTTCAGTAAAATAGATCTATTTTATAATCCAAAATTATTTCTAATGTCGTAACAGTAGGAGGGCTTAGGTGAAGGGGATTGTGGCAGAGTATAGTTGACGTGGCTTCAATTGGTTAAAGTCTCAAAGTTTTAGTGAAAGTTATCTGATAGATATGACAATTTCACTATTAAATTGTTGAAACATACATATACAGGGTGTCCCATAAGTAACAAGACAAGGAAAAAAAGTTTGAATATCTCCATTAGGGCTCGACCAAATGGGCTCAATTTTTTATCAAGGATAGAGGCATCTGCACACTCCAAATCCATACGAACAAGGTGAATGAGAACCTTTGTTAAGTATCGCTAGTGACCTCAACAATATAATTTTTGCTTTGTCACTGGTAAGAAAAAACCAATATACAGGATAGTGCAAAAGTCACTTTATCGAAAAGAAAATTAAATATTTCCATTACGGCTCGAGCAACCGAGCTGATTTTTTTACCAAAAATAGAGGCATGCTTATACTTCAAATCCATACAGACAAGCTTAGTGAGGACCTTTGTTAAGTATATTTTTTTATTTTCCTGTCTGTGAAAAAGTAAAAATTTTATTGTTGAGGTCAATAGTGATACTTAACAAAGGTTCTCATTCACCTTGTTCGTATGGATTTGGAGTGTGCAGATGCCTCTATCCTTGATAAAAAATTGAGCCCATTTGGTCGAGCCCTAATGGAGATATTCAAACTTTTTTTCCTTGTCTTGTTACTTATGGGACACCCTGTAGATGATCTTAACGAGAGTAGTTTTGTTGTGAAAGTGTCAGATCTTTTCATTTGGTTCTATCTTGAAATCCGAATATTAAATCATCCAGTTTACGTCAGTGACCTGCAAGAAACGCTATCAATTCGAAATTTGAAAATCATTTTTTCTGTTAACACAACATTCATTTAAAAATATTCTTTTAATTTAGTTTTTATTAAATCTTCAAATGTTTCTTCACAAGTATCATTAAATAATTCTTTAACTTATATTCATACAATAAGTATTCGACAATCGATAATTTATTTTATTTGGTTCACGTTATGCATCAAGTATAAATAGTGATCAATCCATAGAAAATAGTGCAATACGAGAGTAAAATAGACAAAAAAACGAATTTGATCTATTCTGTTTGTTTTGTTTTCTATTTTAGTTTTTATTGAACTAAAAAATTAGTCTTAAAAAATATATTAATACAAATGAAAGTAATTTTCAAGCTGTTGTACTCGATTTACTTGTTCAATTACTTTTAATTCGTGTTAATTATAGTTAATTAGAAGCTGATGAAATTCGTTGCATTTCAGATCGTTTCGTTTATTTTTAAATAGCATTTTATTTATTGTATTGCTGAATTTCTTGTTATGTTATCACATGATACACTTCATTAAAACAAGTTATTAAAGTACAAGATTTAATAAAACATTACGATTCATTATTAGCAAGTGGACATGAACCTGAAACATATGGTAGGAAGCAAAAAAAAACATTTTCGAGAAAAAGAAATTATCGTTAAAATTCTTTATTTAGCTTTGGCAGCATTAGAACTAGTTTTATATGATATTTTTCTTGTTCGAGTTATGCGAATAATTAAAATTCCTAAAACTTACGATTGTTAATAGTTATTGTTGATAGTGTCCAAATTGAAGATGATAAATGGAAACGTCTTTCACGACAAATTGTCGATTTACTTCTTGCTCATTTACAATCTCAGGTTATTTTACTTTTAATAGTTTCTGATTTTACGTTACCTTTTTTTTGTTCAAATAGGATCAATCACTTTTGGATATTTATTCCACACAATTAACACTAGTTGATGTTGTGTCATCAGTTGAATTACGATCAATTGATCCATTTGTTATTGCTTTTCGAGCATTAGTAAATAGAAATGTTCGCCGTTTTTATTTATAAAATTTTCCTGTAGTTTAAAATTTTTTAGAATGTCAATTGTCAATCTACAAATCGATAGTTAATCAATATAAATATAATACTTCGATATCTTGTACAAAATTTAACTGAAGATGCTATATTAACAGAATAGAATGATGTTTTATTATCAGTTAATGGAACACGAGATGAAACTTTTAGTGAGTTAGTATTCGAAATGATTTTATTTATAATTTAACAAGTATTATTCTCGTTTTTGTTTTCAGAGCTCTTCTTCGAATTTTACATGACGTAATATTACGAATTTTAACTAATACTCGACAATTATGCGGTCAATTCAATATGACATTAGTTTCTCTTGCATCCGATTACCTTTATGTACTTATGTATATTATGGACTAACTGAACAGATAAAAACTGGTTTCTATCAAAGTCAAAAGAACTTAAGCTTTCATCGTAATCTATATGATAGTAACATATCACCCATTAATTTGAAGATAAAATTTTCCTACAATTCATTAATTACTAATGAGCTAGCGAAAAACATTTGACTTTAAAATTCCTATGGGTTTATAAGATCTATAATTTTATTGTGGCTAAACAATTTCGAACAATTGTAAATGATTTTCGTCAATTATGAATTCATGATGAAACTGTACATCGTCTTGATACATTTTCATATTTAACTATTTTAAGTGAATGTTTTAAATTATTATGATCATCATTTTATATACCACTATTATTACAACGAACACATTCTGAATATGTCATCATGAATTATATGTTGAACATTTTACATCAATAACAACACATTATTAATTATTATTATTATTTTTTATTTTGAACAAAGTGATACATGTACATATGTACATAATTTATTTGATCTTATCCATCATACATCAATTGCAAGTCATTTATTCGTTTCTGAAGGAATGCATTTAGATGGAAGTGGTCTTCTATTAGTTTTATTAATTGAACAATTTCTTCCATTACCATATATATCTGTATTACGTTTAGCTGAATTAATTGTTTATGATCGTATTGAAACGATATTAACACTTGACCCACAAACACTAAATAAACAATTATTACCTAAATATACACCATGAATTTTATAAATATTATCAATAACAATATCAATCGATATTATTAAAGAAGATTTTAATAATCTTAATTATCCTATGGATATAATAAGAAAAATTTATGAACACATGCTTAAAAATGTAACTTATAAAAAATGATTACCATTTATGATGTCACCGATATGTTTTAGTTTAATTTATCGAAATAAATGTATATGTTGGCGTCCAATGTCGGATTCAGTCCAATCTCGGATTGGCCT